GAGGAGGTGATATTGTCTGCTGGGGCGCTGCGAACGCCTCCCATCCTCGAGGCATCGGGGATTGGCGACTCGGGTCGGCTGCAGGGACTGGGGATAGAGGCGAGGATCGACCTCCCTGGTGTGGGAGAGAACCTGCAGGACCAGGCGAATGTGCCTCTGCTGTATACGGGCACTCTCAACGTCTCGGGGAGCTCCCCGTACGCCACCTTTGTGACAGCATCACAGCTGTTTGGCGATGACTTCGAGTCGATAGCTGCGTATGTTCTTCTGTCCAACTTTTGTTTCATTGACTAACGTTTCGCAGAGCCACACGCTCCTCCATCCCAGCCTGGGCTGAATCCCTCGCCGCATCCTCATCCAACAACCTCAGCAGCAGCTCCATCAGACGAATCCTCACCCTCCAGCACACCCTCATCTTCGAGTCCAACATCACCATCGCAGAAATCCTCACCACAGCTTCCGGAACCACCCTCCTCTCAGCCTTCTGGCTCCTCCTCCCTTTCTCCCGGGGCAGCGTGCACCTCTCGTCCACGCAGCCGAAAGACATAGACGCCCCGAGCATCGACCCGAACTTCTTCCAGGTGGACTTTGATCTCCAAGCACAGATGGCTATAGCGAAGCTCGCACAATCGTTCTGGGAACAGGGACCGGTGAAGGATTTGCACCCGGTTGCGATTCCTGGAAAGGGGGTGGAGGGTAATGCAACGGATACCGAATGGACGGCGTTCCTTAAAAACACTTGTGAGTTTGCAACCGGAGAGGGGAAGAGGTGCTGACAACGATGTAGTTGGGCCGAATTACCATCCGATTGGGACGGCGAGTATGATGGCTCGGGAGCTGGGGGGCGTAGTCGATTCGCGGCTCAAGGTCTACGGCACGGAGAATGTAAGGGTCGTGGATGCGTCGGTGATTCCGCTGCAGGTGAGTGGGCATCTCACTGCGACGTTGTATGCGGTTGCCGAGAGGGCGGCGGATATGATATTGAATAGATTCAATCGACAGGCTTAGCTCTAAGACACCAAGTGAAAGGAAGTGATAGTGTATGATTCCAACCGAACTCCATCCAGGTATCCGTAATGTGACAAGTCTAGTAGATAGAAACATGCTTTTGCCGTCCTGCTTTGACCCGAGGGAAGGTTGCTCGCTATGCTCTGATTAAACCGCTCGCAACATGTCCAGCATCCCCTTGGTCTGACACGCCTGATGCGCCATCTCCACCTCCTCGCGCACCCGCCGATGCAGCCGCTCCACCATCTTGTCGATCTGCGCCGACTGGCCCAGGTTCCCCGAGTAGATGTCCAGCACGTTCATGGCGACCTCCACGCACAGCTTCACCAGCCGCGGCTCCGTGATGTTCTTGTGCACCCACTGCAGCACCGGCTGGAGCGTCTCCTCGTCGCGGCCCTGCAGCGAGGCCCGCAGCGCGGAGCGGTGCCGCAGCGCCGTGAACAGCGTCAGCTGCGCCGTCCTGTCGCTCGACGCCAGCACCTGGTCCAGCGCCGCCGAGTACCGCGCCTTGCGCAGGTCGTACTCCCACGTCTGCTCCTTCTTGCGTTTCCGCTTGTCCTGGCCCTCGATCACGATGTCCACGCCCTCGCCGATGAAATCCCGTCCGCGCAGCCGCTTCTCCCAGCCCGACCCACGCAGTTTCTGCTGCTTGGCAACCTTCCGGTCGTGCTCTTCCAGCTTGCCCTCCAGCAACGCCTGCATCTCCCTGCGCCGTTCGCGCTCCCGGATCTTCTGCTGGCCCGACAGCCGCGTCTTGATCGATAACAGGCCGGACTGCATGCCCACGGCGATGTGCTTGTCCTCGCGCGCCACCCCGGACGTGATCACCCGCAGCGACAGGATCGGAGACGGGTACTTCGACCCGGACACCACGTTCCACCCGGTCGTCTCAAACACCTTCATGTGCCCGTCCAAAGCACCACTGAGCAGTCTCTCCCCGTTCGACGCCAACGCCAGCGCCGTCACTGTCTTCTGGTGGCTCTGAATCATATGCAGCGGCTTGCCGGCCACGATATCCAGCACGGCGATCTTGTTCTCCGCCGAGGCCAGCAGCGTCGTCCCCGTCGGCATGGGCAGCACGCTCTCAATCGGCGCCGCCATCTTGAACGTCATCGCCGCCCGGTTCTCCACCCGCGGATCCCACAGCCGCACCGTCTGGTCATAACTCCCCGAGACCACCAGGCCGGACGCCGCCAGCGAGCCAGGCATGTACGCCCCGCTGCGCACATAGTCCGTATGGCCCAGGAACGTGCGCGCGCTGCTCTCGCTCGGCAGATCCCACAGGCGCACGGTCCGGTCGTCGCCGGCGCTCAGCACAGAGGTGGGGTCGCTCGGCGAGAACTTGGTCACCCACACGGGCTGCCGGTGGTCCTTCCACGTCTTCAGGATCGCCCGCGACGCCACGTCGAAGACCTGCACCGTCCCGGTGTCGTCGCCCGTCACCACCACGCGGCCGTCGGGCCGGACGTCTGTGCCGCGCACGGTGTCATCGAAGCGAGTGATTGTCCGCAGCAGTTTGCGGGTGCGGATGGAGTAGATCTGGACGCGGGCGCCGGTCGTCACGGTGAAGACGTCGGGGGGCTGTGTGAGGGACGGGAAGGCGGAGGCGGACGAGGGGGCGGCGGGCTGCGTGATCAGGTT